GTCGACACATTCGTGGTGGGACGTGTGCAGTGGCCTCCACTAGGTCAAGCCCAACGTAGTCAAGTGTCCGGGTGTTGTAGTTCTTAGAATTATTCCGGAATCCCCGGGACACCGGGGAATATATACTTCCGAATTTTGTGTCTACATAAATGTGTGTATGTTGAGGTGCCTTTGAAGTGGGACAGAACAAAAAAAGTAGGCAAAGGTGCAGCAGGCCTGTAGGTTATGGTGAGGTTGTTGAATATTTGTGAAAGGAGGTGGAAGTCAATTGCGCCATTTTTACATTGAGTAACTGCATTTAGACACGTAATAATTGCGATCACTTTATAACTGCGATAATGAAATTTTTAACTGCGATCATGAACTTTATAACTGCGATAATGAACTTTATAACTGTGAACATGAACTTTATAACAGTGATAATGATTTTTATAGCTGTGATAACGAACTTTATAACTGCGATCATAACCTGTATAACTGTGATCATGAATTCTATAACTGTGATCATGAAACTTTATATTGGCGTTCATGAAACTGTACAAGTGTGATCACGAACTTTATAACTGTCATCTTGAACTTCATAACTGCGATCAGAAATTCCATTTCGACTCGAAATAGGAGCTATGGACGGTAAACTAGATACGAAAACAAGTTACACTCGAAAATTTACAGCTCACGAATAAATATTGGGCTACCAAAATATCCAACATAAGTCAGACACCACAAACTACAAATGTACAACGCAATCAAATATCTCACTGTTTTTCATCAGGCAACTTTTACAGTTATCACCAGTCCACATTTACACTTTGCATCAGTCCACATATTCAGTTTTTCATCACTAAATGTGTACAGATTTCATCAGTCCACATTTACACTTTGCATCAGTTCACATATTCAGTTTTTCATCACTAAATGTGTACAGATTTCACCAGTCCACATTTACACGCTGCATCAGTCCACATATTCAGTTTTACATCACTAAATGGGTACAGTTTTCACCAGTCCACATTTACACTCTGCATCAGTCCATATTCAGTTTTTCATCAGTCAACGTGTATAGTTTTTCAGCAGTCTACATTTACACTCTGCATCAGTCCACTATACAGTTTTTCGTCAGTCAACGTGAACAGTTTTCTCCAGTCCACATCTACACTGCACCAGTCCCCATATTTAGTTTCTCATCAGTCAACGTTTACATTATTCACCAGTCCACATTTATACTCTACGCCAGTCCACCTATTGAGTTTTCATCATTACTTACACTCTGCATCAGTCCACCACACAGTTTTTCATCAGTCCACATTTACACTCTGCATCAGTCCACTGTACAGTTTTTCATCAGTCCACATTTACACTCTGCATCAGTCCACTGTACAGTTTTTCATCAGTCCACATATACACTCTGCATCAGTCCACCACACAGTTTTTCATCAGACCACATTTACACTCTGCATCAGTCCACTGTAAAGTTTTTCATCAGTCCACATTTACACTGTGCACCAGTCCACCACACAGTTTTTCATCAGTCCACATTTACACTCTGCATCAGTCCACCACACAGTTTTTCATCAGACCACATTTACACTCTGCATCAGTCCACCACACAGTTTTTCTTCAGTCCACATTTACACTCTGCATCAGTCCACAACACAGTTTTTCATCAGTCCACATTTGCACTCTTCATCAGTCCACTGTAAAGTTTTTCATCAGTCCACATTTGCACTCTGCATCAGTCCACTGTAAAGTTTTTCATCAGTCCGCATTTACATTTTTCTCCAGTCCACGTTAACATTTTTCATCAGACCACATTTACATTTTTCATCTGTCAACGTTAACAGTTTCACCAGTCCACTCTGCATCAGTTCACTATACAGTTTTTCATCAGTCCACATTTAAATTTCCATGCGAGCGTTGGCAAGTGCGTTGGCTGCCTCGTCCATCAGTGCAGCTGCAACTCACTAATTGCTGGTTATGTTCCATGGTTCAATAGTGCAGCTAAATGTTATCATACGTCGATCATTTCATCTTTTTAGCTAGAAAATAAAACTTGCTGATTCTATTCTTGTTCGATAAAAACAAAATATAGTTTGAATTTGGTGCACCACAGCAGCAATGAGACTACACAAGTGGCTCCTTTGAAGCTTCATTGTGTCTCATGAATGTCTTCGTTCATAATTTGGAGCGCCTTATATTTGAATAGATCGACATCGAAATCGCGGTACATCAACATGGTCATATTTTTTACTTATATTAATAATGTGATTGCTATAACGGTACATCTGCTTGGTCATATTTCGACTCACAACCACGTTGTAGCTATAATGGCTTTAACGGNAGAAAGCCGTGTTTAAATAAGAATTGTGCGGATTAAATGAAATCTAAGACATTGATAGCCGTAAATCACGAATTAATTACGATATTATTGAAGAATATTGATCTAATAAGCGTATGGTAGAGTTGAGTTCGCCATTATGGATGATACATCAAGACGTCTAGAATTATTTGAGTCTGCCGCTTCAAAAATATTCAGCGATATTCAAAATATATGCCTGAATTTTTGTCAATAAGGAAGTTACTAATTTGTCTTAAACGCAATTGATTTATTATCAACATCATTAATGCGTTTAATTCCAAGACGAGTGCAATATTGTACTAGAATCTCAAGTTATTTTAACGCCAAAGTTCTTGTCGTGGTATTGGCCTGGCAGCCTCAGCTGGTCTGGCAGCTGGCAGCCTTAGTTGTTGTTGTTGTTGTGGTTCCCCGGTCTCATTTTTATAAGAGACCCCCCTCGCGCAGGTACGACACCACCGACAGGGGGTCGCTATCCTGGCTACTTGCAGCTCAGCTTGCCAGTGTGTACATTTTTCGGACGTCGTCAGAAGTACTTTGACGATAAATCAGATGTTAAACTGAAAATGGCCTGCATAAACTTACGAAATAAAAATAGTCACTTTCCGTGTTGCGTACACCCACTCCCTACGTCATATTATAATTTGCGGCACACAGTTCACTTCACCTGTGCACCAACACCTGACTGATCGCTTCGTATCACAGGAGGCGGGAAGTTGCTCTTGCCGGCGGTGGACGACGCACCACCGCCGCATTCTGCTGGTCGACACATTCGTGGTGGGACGCGTGCAGTGGCCTCCACTAGGTCAAGCCCAACGTAGTCAAGTGTCCGGGTGGTGAAGGTTCTTAAAATTATTTCGGAATCCCCGGGAAACCGGGGAATATTCTTCCGAATTTAGTGTATATGTACATGAATTTCGTACGTATGCTATGCCTTTGAAGTGGGAAAGAACAAAAAGTGACAAAGTGTGGCCAGAAAGAGGAAGGAGAAAATGAAATGGTAGGTTGAAACGAAGGTAGGCGCATGACTACGCATTAGGAAGAGACCTGAGAATATGGCGCGATATAAAGGGAAGGAAGAAACCCGTCGGGGCTCTGATTGGTTTTTACACACGAGTGAAATGTCGGTTTTACACACTGAGGCACAGATATATATACAACAGGCGTGTAGGTTATATTGAGGTTGGTAAATGTTTGTGAAAGGAGGTGGATGTCAATTGCGTCATTTTTACATTGACCAACTGCAATTCGAAACGCAATCGCAAATTCTGCCTAGGAATAGTGGGCTTTGTATGAAGGTGGAGAGAGTGTGTGGAGGTTGGTGAATATGTGTACAAGGGTGGAAGCAGAGGATATAATGCGAGCAGTTCGGAGCTTTTGAAAAGCTTGTAATATTTTGTGAAGGTGTTTGCCGAGTAGCTCCGTTAGTTAAACAGCTGCAGGACCAATTTGGTGGATTAGTGATTATGGTGACATGAGGGATTGTACGTGTAACATTTCTGAGCGTGGCAAGTGTGTATCTATGATGAAGCTCAGTATTTATCTCGAATTTTTTTCTAATTTTATTTACAAATGATTTTGATTCAGCAGTAGAGGTTTTGGTAGGGTATATGAGGGATGATTCTATAAAAACTATGAATAGGTTAATTTGATGCTTGACTCGAGATGGTAATGCCTGTATAGTTTTTGTAAATCCGTTGATGGATTTGTCCTTCGGGTGAGTTAGAAGCAAGCCAATTGGACAGATGCGTGCACTTGGAGGGGAGGACCAACGACATTGCCTATTCTGAGGGATGCAGTTGTGTCTGTAAGACAGAGTTTGTGTAAAGGACGGTCAAAGTTTTGTCGGATGATCTTGTATACAAGTCCGGTATGACATTTATGGTCTAAGTTCTTGGTCACATCGCGAAATATAACATCTTTACTGTCTCTGTGATAGATTTGTTACGTGCGTTTCATGTAAATTGCTAGTGCTGTGTGTGTTTCTTCGAATGATTGGTTGTTCTTGAGTTGCATTTTTTCCTGCTCAATTTTTATTTAATTTTTGGTTTATATGCAGTATGGGTAATTAACGGCCAGAGTACGGAAACAGGTATACGTATGAGACTTTTTTTGTACGTGTGGTTCTTGGCCGCGCTTCTGGAGTCAAACTTTGTTGTTGTGCATTGGTGTTTAGTGTGGTGTAAATTAACATTATGATTTGTTCGCATTTTGGTGGGTTGATTTTTACGCGTTACATGTGGAAACGAAGGATTTAATCAATATTTACAATATAATAGTGACAATAACAATTATCCTTATACATTACAAGATAGATTTTAAAGCTGTTTTCACGCAGCATATAATGATAATAATAATCTTGTATTTTTCAACAGTTATTTATCACTTAAAAGTCTTGTGTCAGTTCACATTCAAAATTAAATAATAACGTCCATCCGTCACCATGAAGGCCAAGTTGGTCATTTCCGTCTGTCTCCTCCTGTCGACTTTGGTGAGTAATTAAGGGTGAGGGTCTGGGGAAAATATTCGTTTACTAATTGTAAATTTTATGCATATTGCACCCATGTAGAACAATAATACAAGCTCGTTTTGTTCGTAAGATTTTTTTTGAGGATACATAAAATGTGAAACCTAAAGAAAACGTAAAATGGGGGACTTCAAAAAGTCTCCAACTGGTACGGATCCAAAATAATTATATAATAAAGATTTTCCATTTAAAACAATTATTATTATGCGTTTCAATTACTTTTTTATTTAATTGTTCATATATGTGTTTGATTTTTTTCACCTCTGCCTACAAAAAAACATGTAAATTATATTTTCTCATAATTAAATAGCCTATTAAGTGAAACAATGTTCAGACTGTGAAGGATAAAGATATCCCTTGGCTCCATATTTCCGGCTCTTCCACCGCCTTCAACTTGTAAGTCGTGATGCTAGCAGGTGCGGCACGAGTCCCTGGCCTTACCTAACCCGTGCAAACGTTTGGTTTTATCAGACGCCGTGTAGTTCGGCTGAGGCGTGTCAGCGACCAGACTGCGCTGGCGTCGGACAACAGTTTTTTGAATTATGGAATTAGGCAAAGGAGAAGCTCTCCGATTAGTATTATCGTGATATTCGCTTTACGTAAGCTGTGATAGTCACGTAAATAGATCGGGCAAAGTAAAATTACTTGATATTGTAAAGCACTAGGGCCGTGCTAATATTTGGAATGTTTTGGTAACTTATGCTTAAACGTATTTAGATTACAGTTGGTTATAGGTAATGATGTTAAATAAAATTAATGGTCAGAAAATAGCGAGTTATAATTAAATAGCACATTCAGTTGGTTGCATTAGAGGCTCCTTGTTCACAGTTACGAAATAGACGAACAAAGTTAAAAAGTCAACTTATTTTCTGAATCTCACCTTCACCACAAATAATGCATTGAGTCCCTGATGCTTATTTTCCATGTGAACTCATGCGACTAAATGTTACTCCAAGTTAAATCCCTTCTATCAGTTTTTTCCACTGCATTTCCACACTGGTATTGGCAGTCCGGTTTTTATTTTTATGCTTATGATTGCGTGACAAGTCCTTCGGTCACAAGAGTTTGAGAACTGTTAGTCCGTTTAAGAATGAATAATTAGAAACAGATTATTTGAGAAAGACTGGATAGAGCAAACCTGTCCACCAACCTGTACAGGTATCAGAATTTAAACTATGTATCTACCAAATTACTTCTACAGTAATCACCGTTTATTTATTAGTTTATTTTGTTAATGTTTTTATTAGAAGTAAATTTCTATTTTATTCAGTACTTACATATATCCATATTTTAATTTGGTAACTTGATCTTCTGCAGGGAACCGGCGCTGTTTGGAACAATTTACATTTATCAACTTTATAAAGATACAAACCATATCAAAATCCGTGCCCAGAATTGCCGGCCCCGGAGATCGACTCTTCAGCGCTCGCCTACATCAACTCGTGGCAAACGCCCGGCAACCTGACGTTTGAGGGTGTGATCCAAAGTGAGAATATATATTGTTTAACTTATGAAGCATAATAGTTTTACGAATAATTCCAAACAAATTGATGACAGATACCTTAAAAAATATACTCTGTGCCCTATAAGTGTGGAATTTATCTGCTTTTTTACACGAAAGATATTTTTGCAGAACACTTCGGAGAGTTTGAGGATAAGGTCAAGCAAACAAAAGATATTTACTACCAACATTCAAATCATATTGAAAACTTTTTGCGCATGTTCTACAGTATTCTTTAATCGTAAACAAATCTATATACAAATAGAATCTTAATTGTAAACAAGTCATCTATTTACCAGATAGCGTTAGATTATTTGATGTTATTTGGCCTGATCTTCTATTCCATCGTAGTTGAAAAATGGATTATGATTTCAGGGAAAGTTTCTTCCCAACATAATCGGTTGTCACTGATTCTTCTTAAGTAGAGCACACGTTGTTTTAAACTTATTTAATTACAAAATGAACAAAATCTATCAATGATGTACGTAAGAGACTATATAGGCGATGTAATTTGGCCTTTGCATCATGGGATTCAGGATCCAAATGAAAGTTTATATATTTTTTCTCATATTTCACAAATGTTGAAAAAGTATACTTAAAACTATTTACAATTTCAGGTGACCCTTGCAATCTCATTCGGGGCTTCAAAGTGACGTTAACGAATTCGTCAAAAGGCTATAACGACACCGTGATTGAGGTGCCGAAACAAGACACCTTTCTGGTCCTGGACTGCAAAACGGTTGACGTGTTCCAGACGCTGCGAACGACCGCCTTAACTGTCGACGGAAAAGAGTTAACTCCGAACTTTCCGAGCTTTGATCCAGGTAAACCAAGTTCATGGATCTTGTAAGCTGATAAAAAGTTTGTGATAAATGACTTGTAAAGTGTATAATGTGCAGATTTTAGCTCCTGCAAATTATTGTGGCGTTGTCTAAGTGTAAATACGGAATGAAATACTCATTCACTCAGGGCAGTGGGGAGGGCCATGCGGGGTCCTGGGGCCTAGTTCTAGGCATTGCGGAAATCATTGCATTATCTTCTTAAATTAAATTCTTAAACGGTTAAATCGATCAAAATTAAGACTTGGAATTCTTCAGTGTTTAACTTTTAGTCCTTCGAGTGAATAGATTCGCTGATTCTCAACTCCGACAACATGACCTGCTCCCAGTGAGGATACTTTTCTTGCACGCGTTTGGCTGGCACATGAGTTATGATAATTAATTCAATGAAGCGGATGGCGGCCGTCATCACAACGAGGACCTTTATAGCTTAGCAATATAGTAATTGAATGACCGGCGCGGCGAATTTTATTTAGCCGGATTTCTGTCTGAATAAACTGTCTGGATTTGTCTGTATAATAATATTACTTTTGTGAGAAATAATATCGTGAAACGTCTTGAAACAAATTCTACTCTATCGATTGAACCACGGCAGCATTCGCTCTGCGGTGCCATTCATGACGACAGCGTCTCTCACTCCAAAGAAAGAGGAATTAAAGCAATATTCCTACGACACGTACATACAAACGTGACAGTAATGGCCGAAAGGTTGCGCAAAAAATTAATAAATCTAAAAAAATGAGGAAAATTTCTAGCTTTTGAAAACTATGGCGAGTGGGGGAGAAATTAAGCTTCAATTCAAAGAATTTCTATTTAACAGACGAATGAAACTAGCGAAAATGACGCGAGGCCAACGCGTCAAGCCTGTCGGTAGCACCATGGTTGAATTAATTTCAACCATGGGTAGCACTTCCCCCCTGACCCTCTGCCACCAGCGGTTCCGAAAAGGAGGATGAAGCGCAGTGTCAAATGATAAAATTATGTCAAATGCAAAGCAACTTAAATGTAGTGACAATTTTTAAACTTGGATATTAAATCTAATCTGCGTCAAAAATATAATTAGATAATGACACAGATACATGGGGTAATGATAAATGATTCAACATCTTAGGAGAGAAGAAATTTACTCGAGGTAATGGTATTTGGCAATGATCTCAGTGATGGAGGAGTAAGACTCACTGCTTGGTAAGGCTTTGAGGTAGGAGTACAAGCACTTGAGCTAGTTTGTAAAACGTCAAGGTAGCAATTTGAGTATTTAAGGTAATGGCTACTTGTAAACGACAGTTTAGGTAATAGTTTAGGTAACAGGTAGGTAATAGAACTAACCAAACATGTTTAAATGAAGGGCTCTACCCTAAATATACAAAAGCTAGGTAATAGTATATATTAGGTAACAGTACGAATTAGGTAACAGTACGAATTAGGTAACAGTACGAATTAGGTAACAGTACGAATTAAGTAACAGTACGAATTAGGTAACAGTACGAATTAGGTAACAGTACGAATTAAGTAACAGGACGAATTAGGTAACAGTACGAATTAGGCAACAATGAGAGTTTGGTAATAATCATTTGGGAATTTGGAGTTACCAATCTTCAATTCCAGCGGTAAAATGAAGGTTCTTAAGGAGTAAGTGGAGGAGTTGGTGCCTGATGGGACTCTAAGGGTAACAAAGTAATGCGCGACAATCACCTGCCACCTCAGACGTCCATCGGATCTTTGGCGTGTTGTCATCGTCGCCACATCAGACTTCCACCGCAAACCTAGCTAGCTAGGTCTAGACGCCTGAAAGCGGTAGCGCCGAAGGTAGCAGCGTAGCCAGCCCCGCCATCCCCCTCCGGTCACTCCATCGACTTCCTTATCTCCTCATAGGGATGGGCTTAGAGATGTTCAATGACAAGTGAATCGAGAGTAAAATTCGAAGGTGAATGCTTGGAGGTACCTTGTCATCACCATGCGTTACCAGGGCAGGGATTGACTGTTGTTTTGTCGCAGTCGTATTTTCTTGATGCTGTTGCCGGGCAGATGGTTCTTTTTCTGAATATCGAAATGATTAGTCTGAAGGTGGTAACAGGTTGCCACGATTAATACATTTGATAGTAACTAATTGATGAATCTGGCTCCAAATTCCCAACTGTATTTCAAGCTAAATTATTCAATGAATATGGCCTTACACTATATGGTGTCAACTTTAAACTTAAAGTTAAGGAAAATAGGCTGCTAAGTTGTAACAAAACATACTTCCTAAATATTTGAATCTTGAGAATTAAGGCGCATTTTCAACACTAGCTTCACCCAAACTGCCACATTATATTTGGATATTGAGGCTTATTGTTCAGTTATGTAAACTTGAAGTTAGACATAATTAAGTGTTTCAAACGAATATACATGTTTAATAATGCGTATTTAATACCGACAGTTTCCACTAATGATGACTACAGCAAGATATACGATCGAACTATCCAGTCCTGCTTGTATAGCATGGGAGGTGCTAGCATTTCCAGCTTCAACAACACCGACTTCTGTGCTAGTCGCGGGTTGCGAACTTTCGGAGAGGAGCTCTACCTGAAAAGCCTGGCGGCGCCCGGTGTTCTCAATGAAAGTAAAGAACATTTATGATCCAGAAAAGTTTCATCGAGAAACTAATTATTTTTTAAAATTTATTAGTAATTTAGGGGTTGTGTGCAGACATGTGTCAAAGTTGGTTAATATTGTCTATTGAATATTTAGCAATGAAAGCACTTCGACCATGCAAACAAATTTTGGGTACAATTCCATTAAATTTCGCCACAAAATTAAGCAATCAAGGTTGGTTGAGGTTCTGAAGTCTAGAAACACGTTGTTTCTCCAGCTACCTGTTCGAATGTGAAATTTGGCGTCAGCCTTTCACGTTTTTCCACCGGTTACTTCATTCGGCTAAATGACTTCGAAGTCTCCGTTTGACCGTCTGCTGTCTTGATATATATAGTCTTACAGTGGAATTTTTTCCTCATCGATCGCTTATTTACTGATCCCTACTTTATAAGGAATAATGCGTCATTTGTACAGGCTTTTTGGTCGATCTGAAGTTCTACCCCGCTAGCGGCGAGTGGAAGTGGACCAGCAGCATGAACGTCCTGCCATTCAATGCCAGCCATTGGTGGTCCGGTTATATGCAACCCACGACCAAGTGGTGCGCTACGTACAATCGGGCTACTTTGCAGCTGGCTGACCTTTCGTGTTCTTCAGGCGCTTCTGTCGCTTGTGTTGGCTAACACTGGTGAGCATTCCTCTAAGAGTTGCTCTATAATACGTGCATTTGTTGACTCATCATCGGGTGTGAGTTCTTTATTTTGTTTAATTTATTAATTTCTTATCGCTGGTGGATGAGAAACTGGGCAATGTATGAAATTTTAATGGAAAATTAATTGATCTGGTGAAAATATTGTTCATTTTTGATGCATAACCTATAATAGTTAAACTTTGTGTTGAACAAACTTACGGTTATCGTCAACATATTTCATTTACAAGCTAGCAGATGAGGTAAATGTGTCTCTCACGTTTGTGCTGGGAATATGCATGAAGTCCCAAAAATATCATAACAAATGTTGAGAAAAAAAAGGCATGCAGCTGTTCTTCCATGAATATTGCAGGCCTTCCGCGCACTGGAGACTTGTGGAAATTAGAGGCCATGTGTGTGCACCCAGGCGGCCATGTATGGGTGGCCAGCGATTATCCGCCGGCGTCTCCTCAAGGAAGACGGACATCGCGTCTCTTTGAGTGGTCGTCGCATGTAGCTTACATGGCTCTAAGTCCTCGAATTCTAGTTTAAAAATTTTAAACACTTATTTGTATACTTGACCTGTTCATGTTTAGTCTTTTTGTGACGATTTACCCATTAGATTGCTTTTCTTTTTTTTTTTACTTAATATTTTGGGCAAACTTATGACATCTTGCCCAGGGTAGAGTAATGATACTGAATAAGGGCCATAAAATGAGGCTGTAAATCATCTGAAACGAAGAAAAAAAGTTGAAATTTTGCATATGAAATTCTCATTTTTACATAGAAAAATTCCGTCCAATCAGCATATCAAGGTCTCAGAAGACTTCATCTTTTCATTGAACTAATCGATGGAGAATTGTCTGAAATGTCTAGAATGCATTAAACATAATTAACAAGATTCAACTACCGTCAATGCCGATATCCTTGCGTCCTCATCACAGCACTTCTGTTGCTGGCCATAGTGTCAAAGCAGAGAGTGTTTAAAACTCATCCTCGTGTTCGTTTTTGAATCCTATAAGTAGACCATTAAAGTATCATGGATATCGGCATTACCAAACATAAGATATTGTGAATGTTCTGGGAACATTCCTGTTCCCATAACCATGCCCATAACATTCAAAGCTTGTTGTGGTCTCACACCTGCAACTCTCTGTTTTAATTTTGCTTTGCTTAACAGCCCGGCCTCCTTGCCAGTTATGACCATAAACTATAATGCGCAGAGCTGCGATCGAACCCGCAACTCTCGCCTCCTATCCTAAATCTGAACTGTAACCACTGTCCACTTGACCATATTTGACAAGAACAGGCTTTAGCGGCGTTTCTGGGCGTCCGGCGCTCTGGTTTCAAGCAGCGCAGCACTGGTCTGGCTTTCCGTGTTCCAGCGTTCTAGCTATGAGCTGAGTGTAGCTATTACACTTCTGGGCGTTAGCTACAGTGAATATCCATAAGAGTTAAATTTAATTTTAATACAAAACATGCAAGATAGAATTTACATGCAATATTTCGAGATTCCGCAAAATACATTACGCTATAAAAAATACTGAAAAATAATTTGCTTGCGCTTCATTTTCCGTTTGAATCAGAGACCAAAACCAATTGAATAGAGATAAAGGCACAATAATTTTAAACAGCATAGATTCAACCAGCTAGCAGATGGTCGGTACTAGTTCACCCCACCACAGCTAGCAGATGGACGGTACTAGGTCACCCCACCACAGCTAGCAGATGGACGGTACTAGGTCACCCCACCACAGCTAGCAGATGGTCGGTATTAAGGCATCACTCAAAATGTAGTGGCCAGTGCAATAGAAATGAATCATTTAACAATAGATAAAAGATGCTAAAATAAACGCGTGGTAGTTGGTTCATCGAATTTTGGCTCACCCATCCTTCTTTTCGATTATCATATAACGACATTAAATCGAATTAATGTAAATTTTTCGAACGCATTCAAAATGTTTCCAATGGTTAAATATTCTTTTTGCGACTCCTACCAATTTGGCAGCTTTTGTGCTTAAATTAACACAGGCTAAAATTTTTATCAACGTGTGGTAAATGCATCAGAGTGTGTTGGATATAGTGCATTCCGCTGAAAGCTTGTAACCCGAATGTCCCACATAAATCGAGGAGGTTATTCGCGAGAAGGTCGTACGTCTTAAATGGACCTTTCGCAAACTCCAACTGTCGGTAAGAGGTAGGCATTCGTACGTTCTTTGGAGTAAAATTCTTGTACGCATCTTAAGTTCAAGCTTATTAATTAATGAAATTCGCAATACTCAATGGCCCATGGGTATGATAAAAGCGATGACTTCAGAGAAAAATTTTCATGTATAGTCTGTTTTTCTGAAGTACAATTATTATCTATGATAAAATTATAACATTTTAACAGGTTCCGTGAGGAAAATCTATCATCAGCTCTCAAGTTCTCCATAAATTTGAATTAAGCACACAGCACAAACTACGAATGCACCACAGCATTCATTATATGATAGAATTATTGATCATCCCGTTTCATTGTTATTGATTTATCTTAGTTCATATACATTTTCATTTCATGTATATATCGTGCATTATTCTTTGTAAATTTTTCTTATACATTTTATTGTAATTTTCTTTCTATAGACCGTAGGTCATGGAATACTGGTTGTTTATCCTGTCATGATGGCGCTCTTTGAAATAGCTTAGTAAACGTTCCTAAAGCTCTAGCCTACAAAAAAGTCCTTCACAGTGTATGTACCACATCATATATCCTAGAGTGCGTGTGCCACGTCATCCCTAACAAGATTTAGGGGCATTAGCGAGCCTGAATTTGGGCCGCCTAGGACTCGGGAAGCAAATAAATCAGCTTCTCTATGTCCGCTTCGGCTCTGGGTTCGAAGGGCCGCCTCTGGGCAGCTTGCTAGCTCAGCATTACTCGGCTCGGCCAACCCTTGGGGTGACTGCTGTGGCCAGGCTGCTGGGGTGTCAGGGAGAGGCGGGGTGCGGGGTGACTGCTGTGGCCAGGCTGCTGGGGTTTCATGGAGAGGCGGGGTGCGGGGTGACTGCTGTGGCCAGGCTGCTGGGGTGTCAGGGAGAGGCGGGGTGACTGCTGTAATTATACAACTTTATTCATGATATCTGATTCTTCTTCGTCGGTTGACGTTAGATTTTTCAAGTGAACTTGTATTTGAACGCACTATCATCAATGCAATGTTAATTAAGTAATAATCTTCGCTGGCTACTCTTTATTTCTGGCTGGATGATTTTGATTTACGTTTCCATGCGTTTTTGTTTCAGGTATTTACGTTTACGTTAGATTTTACGTTACGTTAGATTTACGTTTCCATGCGTTTTTGTTTCAGGTATATGGCCTTGGAGAATTAGGTGCAATTATAAAAAATTGCATTATGCCGCTAAATGTCGTACTCAGTTGGCTCTGGCATGGCATACAAAATCAACCGGCCATATACTTCACTTACCGGCCTTCCATACTCCTTATACTTCGCATTGTTATGTAACCAAAATGGCAGCCACGATACAACAAAAACTGAAAATGTGATAGGCTTCTACAGCGTGCATTTTGATATATAATTAATTAATTGAGTGGTATAGCTTGCATATTTTAATATATATTAGTTTTTTCGTTGATAAGTGAAAATTTATAAGTTTCTAGTCAACCAAGTTTCTAGTCAACCAAAAAAGTCCTTACGTGGAACCATATCTTTTAATGAGACATATTGTATTAATTGCATGAATTGACTTGATATGGAATTTGCTGTGCCGCGCCAGCAAACAGCTACTGAAGAATCGTCAAGAATATCATGCATCATTTTCCTTCACAATTCTTTTCCTTTAATCAAGAATTTTAAAGCATAGAAAATTCCGATTAATACGCGATGCCGTGAATTTATTTGACATTTTCTCTTTCTTAAATTCTTTTGGAATTAAATGAAATCTCAGGACTCAACTCCGTAGACTAAATGGCACCAGCAAGAAGTCTCCACTGTCAGTGCACAGAAAATTTTTATTGTAAAAAATACCTATTGCTTTGGTAATCACTGTGCTTGAAAAAACTACATTTGCTTCGATGGTTCTATTTAACTAAATGTTATTATATACCGCAAAATATTGACACAATTGTACATGCATTGTTTCTATATTTACAGATTAGAGCAGGGCAAAATCCCAAAATTGTTTTTGAAAAGCAATCCTAAAAAATATTCTCTGAGCGCTGGGATCTGAAAATAGGAAAACTCAAAGGCTCGGCTTTCGTCGAGTTTAGATCAAAACAAATATAAAGATTATTTATTATGCCTGACAAGACAAAAACTTCCTTCCATTATGTCGAATATTTCTGCTTCAAAACAATTACAATTACTTTGTTGAGTGGCAAATTTCCTTCTCGTTCATGAAGAAACATGTTGAAATTAAAGGAAGCACTAATGCGGGCTTATATGTTGCATCATTCAGTCACGTTATGGGCATGTGGCCAACGATGCCACGAGTTTGTATACCTTGTATAACACAACTAGTTCGTATATATTTTGTAGCGAGAAACACCTCAGCGAAGTAGAAAGGTAGCGTGCCGACTTTTCAGTGTTCTCTCTTATTGCCTTAGAATGCAAGGGCTACTGAGTGACGCCTTAGTCGAGCTCTAAACTCCCTTGGGTTGAGAGATGGGGGTGAAATGAAATCAACGTGAACTTTCTTCGTTATATCCTGATGATCTTCAAGTAGGGTACACTAGTCTTCAAGCAAAGGCACGTGAATTATTAAATTAGAGTTGATACTTGTTATCCTTCGTTGACTCCGAGGACTCTAAAAGGCAGAATTATAAGCTCGAGGTTATTATTATTCCGAAATGTTGGAGTTTTTCTCTGTTTTAATGGCACAGCGCTGTATTAGAAATAGCTGGCCAGTTATTTTCTTGCTGGTCTGTCCGGCTAAAATTGTCCGGTCCGGTTTCGGCTTTGACTCTTAATTATGTGAGCTTCTTACCATGATTATTCTTAAAGTATATCAACAGTAGCTTTAAAAAGAGTAAAGAACAACCGCCGCAATATCACGTAAGTTGAGAATCGGAAATTTTAAACTAAAATGGTTATTATTAATACATACTTTTATCGTAATATTATATTTCAGCTCCGAGCAGTAAAATATTAGGAGCAGAAATTCAGACATTTATTATTACGCGACGTGAACGATGGCAACTTTGGTGATTGGATTTTAATGTCGATGTCATGTCACGGTAAAATTTTCTCGAGTCAAAAAGACCAAGTATAATATGAAGCAAGATGTTGAATGTCTTGCGTGTCACGCCATTGATTATCACTTCCTTGTAAAATTCATGCTGAAATTGTCCCGAAACTTTTCAAATTACCTATAGTAATCATTATACCTGGTAGTGATGGCTAACAAAAGCTTGCATATGCAGAACAGTTATTCAGGCCGTGTATTTTACGCATTAAATAAAATACTTTTTCGGCACGCGTCCCCGCCCAGAACCTGCCGTCCAGAAGGCGAGCGTCAGCGTCGGAGCGAGGCTGGGGTGGCGGACAGCCTCGAGTCTTGCGGACATCAGAGTGTGGTGGACATTAGAGTCTAGTGGACATCAGAGTGTGGTGGACATTATAGTCGAGTGGTCATTTGAGTCGGGTGGACATCAAAGTCTGGCGGACATTATAGTCTAGTGGACATCAGAGTGTGGCGGACATTAAAATCGAGTGATCATTTGAGTCAAGGGAACATTGGAG